AGATGATTGTGATTTATATTAGGTAATAAAAGGGAAAGGAAAATTGCCATTTTTCAGTCTATATCAGCCTACCTGGCTTAGTATAACCATTTTCTCTAGTTTTTCGAAAGCTTGTTCCATTTTTACTATCTTCAGTATTTTGGCTAAGAATGAAAAAATTGATTTACTTTCGTGCAATTTTGAGCCTACGGGAGATTTAGTAAATATTAGAAAACAGGGCCAGACGTCGGTCATAGTATTTTAATCTACACTGATTCCTCTTACTTGGTATACCCTTTTTTTCTCCAGCTATTGCTTCATTTATCGTTCAATTTTTATTCGTAATTTTGCCTATGAATGAAAATTAAGATTATTTTCCTTATAACTTAGCGTAAAATGCTGATCTTGACAAAGTTGGGGAAAAAGGATAGGGTTAGGGTGATGGCTACATCTCAATTTATATTAGTCTCTTTTCCTGCTGTATCCGTTTCATTAGTATACTTTGTATTTTCGTTCCAATTTAGTCGTAAATCGTTGGCAAAGAGCCAAAGGAATATCGATTTGACCTAATCGATATAAAAATAATGCTTTGGAGATCTGGAAATGAGCTTGATGATGCTCTAAACTATCTTATCTTATTTTTCCTGACATGGAATAGCTATGCTTTAGTCAACACATCAATTTTCCTTTAACTTCTATCTCAATCTTTTGCAATGAATGAAAAAAGAGAGGGTTTCACCGATTTAGTCTTTAATAAGTGAAGGCATGTTGAAAAATGGGAAACGTGATCTGATGATATCTAAGCTGTAGTTTACTCTACAAAGCTTTCTTTTTCACTGGGCGACCATTTTATCGTATTAATATTTCAAATACGCTCTACATTTATTCGGTATCTTTGATCATAAATCAAAAAAGATTTTTCCAGTTTCTATCTAGATTTGGTTGTATTTACACTAGATTATAATTCAATAATTAATCTGTCTATATTTGACAATGTAATATTATAGATTCTAGCAAACTGACTTATGCTTACATCTATCTATGTTTTACTGGTAATGGCTTATCCATCTTTTGAAAAGCAATTTTCATTACTTTACCTTTGGAATCCTTTTTCATCTTCTTACAAAGGCATAATATCGATGTGAATGTGTATTGCAGTATGGAAATAACTCTAGTTAAATCGGGAGATATTATCAATATTGATACCTTACTCGATTCGCCTGAATGATAGGTAATATCAACATTTTTATACGTGAAGAATAGATTATTTATTATCGATCTTCCTATTCCATAGTTGTACTTTGAGTAAAAAATCGAATTTCGATTTTCGAACAGTTTTGTTGACTGTCCTACACGATTTTGCTAATCAATTTATCCGATTACTATCAAAGGCTAGGATTCTAGACTTTATTTTCTAGCATGTCTTATCTAAAATCAGGTATTACAATGCATTGAGCATAACATGATTGGATCTAAACGAATCAATAACAGATTTATAAGTAATTAATTAAAAGGGCTTACCGACTAGGATAATATCTACTACTGAGTAAGAAATAGTATTTAGCAAAAAATTTCGCCATTTATTGAAAGTATAAATTGCATAGGATTCCTCTTTAGATACAGCTGATTAAATTAAATAAAGATGATTGAGACAGAATTAAAAGTTCCAGCATATTTTAAGCACACTCCTAGCACTGATATTACTAAATTACCCATAAATTCCCTTTATTCATCCAGCAAGTATTCTCCATACTTTGCTTATAGATAGAAAATTTTAAACGATATCTGTTGCAATGGGATTAAGGCTGTTGTATTTTATGCGAAACTCCTCCGTTATCGATTAAGACTTGATAAATAGATTTCTCTAGATAGATCTCATTGCAATAAATAAAATCTTCCTTCGATTTCCTATTAGCTATAAATGGGAAATTTAGAAGATGCCATCTATAGATAGGATAAAAGCGGGTGTAACCGAAAGAGAAGTCTAATGAGAATTTTTTCTATCACCAAATAAAGACTACGTATTATTTCACTTTAGAGATCAATAAAAATTTGAAAAGACATAGTATTAATTTAGCTGTATTCAGTAAGTATTTCATTCTGAAAATGTGGTCCTTACCGAAAAGATCGGTATATCATCTATAAACACTCTTTAGTCCTCAATTTTCTCGATGGGAAGTTTGTCAAATAAAGATAATATTAGATTTCCGTTTAGAAGTGGAAAAAATTTCATCCTTATCTATGAGATCAGAATTTATTCTACTAATTCTCTTCATTCAGCTAAGGAAATTTAAATCAGGTTTCATTTCAATCATACACCTTAAGGTCAATATCAAAGTTACTTTCTTCCAAAGCATATACAGCACTGCGATCTTTTAAAGAGTATCCTCAATATTGAATTATTTCAGTGATAAATTTCCTATATTTATTATTCAATGGAAATTGCAGAGCATTTTCATTGAGGATTAAAAATCCAACAAGAACTTCCTGGATATAAAAATTGAAATAGAATGCTCTTCTATGAATGATTTACTCTTTTTAAAAGGGTCAAGACTTTATCCAAGTTCACTAAAATTGAATAAAGTCATTCAAACTAAAAAGAATCCGGACAGTAATCCTTCGCCTACTCTTTGCTGATTCAGTGCGCTTTTATTAATCCTACGCTATAAATAAAGAACATTCATTTCAATCACATCTTCTGTTCAAGGTTTTCATTTCACACCTAGAACAACAAACACATCCTGTCTAAAATCTGTTAAAACTATTATTCATAATTTACGTATCGGGCATCAGTTTTTTTGCTGCTATATGATTGAATATCTTAAACTCTTGCTCGTAGAAACTAAAATCTAAACTATCTGTCATGTATTGACACAACTTTATTAAACTATTAAAGCATCAAAGTACTATCTAACTTATTGCACCCAGCTCCTAGCTGTATACAGAATACAAATCTCCTATATGCTGTTTCTAAATACATGTCATTAATCTATATAATACCATGTTAGGCTACAACTCTATATCTAAATATAATGGTAGTACGGTGTATTAATTAATTAGGCACAAATATACGCGTATATGTCGTATTTAAGTAGAATTCTAGATCCAAGTATGATGTGAATCGCTTTTGCAAAGGTGATTTACAAGTTATTTAGATTGTACTATAGCATAGATATAGTAGCCTAACAATTTTTCGGACTTTTTTCTCCACAAGGGTAATTGGGGCCTCTAAACTGGGGCGTCTAAACTGGATAATACTTTCAGCACGAAAGCATTTAGCTAACTCTTTTATATACGATTAGATTGAATTAAGTTTGCTAAAGCTGTAGTACTACCTTGCATTTATAAACGGAATATAGGCTAATTCTGATATTCCTTAAATTCAAAAGCATTAGGTTATCTGCTACAACGCGTCAAGGAAGAGTTGTAGATCTTTAGCAGTCGTTTTTATATGATATTTTGAAAGATTGAATGTCTTGTTAGCCTATCATTTTGTTAAATGGGAAGACAAGATACAGTTGTAAATTCGTCCTTTCCTTAGAATTATAATCGTATAATAGTATTATTCAGACAGATTCTAATCCATATCTATGTTATACTGCATTAGCTTCTAGGTGTAGCACGCGTTGCATGGCTTTCTTTATCGCTCTTATAGGATTGCGTTTACAAGCATAATATTCTAATGCTCAGTTAGCTATACTATTTAGATTAGAAAGAAGTAATAGATCTTTATTCATCATTCTTATAAGATGGCTGGCAATTACACTTTTTCATAAGCGTTTGTGCAGGCTTGTTCTCATCCAAATCTATGAATACCTGTATACGTGTTCTTAAATTGCCTTGAAATGCCAAAGTGTTATGGAAATCTTCATTCTTGATTCAAACAAAATAATTTTCAGATTCAAAGTTCTTTAATGTCTTGCTAGCCATGCTACATAAAATTAGAAAAAAAGAGTCCATACTTCATCATTTTCACATCATTATCTTTTACTCATCATCGTTACATCATAATATTCTACCATTAAAGGTGTAGATGCTGATTTACATCCAGAATAAGAACATGCTAACTCCTTGTTAGCTTAATTTACCATAGATTGAAATGCTTGTTAGAATCTAACGACCGAACTGTCTATAGGCGGAGGATGAATGTTTCAACACCCTAAGTTCCAGAATATCTACTTACTTGTACCCATTTAGAAATTAAATAAATTATTCTTGAATTATGTAACTTGTGAAATACTGTATGTATTCACGCTAGCCAATACTAGAATTCACTGTAGAAATCTTTTTTAAGCGTGTGCAGTTTTAAATTAAAAGTAATAATTGCTTGAGAAGCATGCTGGAATCGTGACGTGAAGAAAAGCAATTAATCAGTTATCTGTGGGCTAAAGCCAAAAAATTGAGTTCTCATATATCGTTAGCATAGAGACTGGAAATATTGGGAAAGTGGCCCAAGTTAGTGTACCTACACTGGAATTCTTTGCAAATCTTGCCACAAGTGAGAGTTGTGACTACTATATAGTTAATAAAAGAGCTGTCGATCTTTATTTTTTATCCTTAAAATACCACTTGGAATCATTAGGATATAAATGATGCTCTAGTAGGGAAAGGGAAGGAAAAAAGTAGATTTAGCCTTACTCATCATTCTTACAAGGAAATTAAAAGGTGTATCCTTTTTAATAACGTTAGATACTCAATGGAAGTGATGAGAAAAGATTTAGTTTAATTTTTTACAGAAGTACTTATATTACAGTTCTACTTCGGTTTAGTCAGGGTTTAATGCCTGTTTTTATTTCATTGGTCAATTGATTAGCTATCTATCACTATGTTGCCGAATTTATAACGAATTGTGAATCGAGATGAAAATATATGCTATCTTACTCCTTTACCTACTCGAAAAGATGAGCAACGGGCTCATTTTCGGAAATCAATAACGTGTAGTATTAAAATGTTATATTCTTGTTTTACTAATAGGTACACATATAATTTATAGGCATAAAATAATCCGCCGTATCCCGAAAATGCCATTCTTTCGTAAAAGTCAATCTGCAGATCTCAATATTCCCAAATCTGCGACCCAAGAGTCTCAACGGCCATCTTCTGATGATTATGGTTCTAACAGGAGTGCTACTTCTAGTGGCCATAGTCATGGACCACTGACTAGAGACAGTCAAGATTGCCATGATCGACGAGAGCGAGACCTGGCTGCTAGATTAGCTGTTGGTAAGAGGCCAAAGTTAGTTTTTAGTACGCAATTAGCTCATGGTAGTGGTATTGGCAAGGTAGAAGGATTTACAAGCGTTCGGGAGTTGTACAACAAAATTGCTGCTTCTCATGGAATTGACCGCAAAGATGTAAGATATTTTATTTATTTTTAAGCTGTGTTTTACTCTCAGGGCATGAAAAATTTTGATATTTGCTAGACTTCCACTATGAAAGAAATGCGATATAAAATGTTCTGAGCCTTTTGTGCAGTACGGCAGATATTCTTAGAAATAGAGTTAAGAATAACCATTAAGGTAGAGACGATGCAGGAAATAAAGTGGTTTAAATCTGAGACAATCTCTCATCGTACTTGTTGTAAAGGCTTTACCGCTATGAAAAGAAAACTGCCATTACTTGCTTAGTCCTATATTCCTGTAAAATAACTGTATGATCTTACTTTAGGAAGTGAAGTAAGCATTATTTGGCTTGAAACTTACTTTACGTACAATGATGCTTTAGTTATTTTCTTCGTCTTGTGAGAGCTTATCCTCTAGATAAAGACATACATAATCTTTGTAACATCATAGGTATTTTAATTATGAAATATATCATGTAATCGCACATTGGCCGTCGAACTCAGTGTTCTCCACGATTTTACGCTAATACTCTAAAATATTGTCTTCTATATGAATATTTAGATAAATATGACTTAATCTTATCACTAGATTCTATATTGTACGCTCAATACTGCTAAAGTTGACATGGAATCCCTATTAGGAGGACAAATTGGCTTGGAAGATACGATTTATGTTCATGTAAAAGGTAATTACAAGCGTATCTCTTTTCTGAAAGCGTCCCCTGCTATTGGATTAACTATAACCGACAATGGTGATGGCATGGCATTCATTAAGAAAATTAAAGAGGGAAGCCTAGCTCATGCTGCTGGCAGTATTTCACCTGGTGATCATATTCAACGCATTAATGGCGAAAGTATGATCGGAAAAAGGCATTATGATGTCGCAAGGTGTTTAAAGGATTTACATATTGGTCTGGAATTTACATTAGAACTAATAGAACCAAAGCGTGGTTTAGGTAAGCGCCGTTGCTACATATACGTTTACCTTTTTCGTATCATTTGCAGTTATTACTGATGTAGCTTGAATAAGAGTAAAATTACCCTGTTGTTACCAATTTTGTAGGTGCTGTTGCTCCTCGCGGTAGTTCAGGGGCTGGTCAAAGTGCTAAGAATGTCACTAGTGGTAAGGCTACGCTAAGATTAAAAGCGCAAGGTCCTCCTGTAGTAGAACATGTAATAGAAGTAAGTTAAGTAATCCACTTTCCAAACCGTTAACAGAGTTACTTTATATCAAGTTAGCAAATAATAAGTTTCAATCATAAAAGCTACAAACTAATTAATATTGAAACACAAAATGTATCATGAACTTGATCATAGCAACTTACTTACTTAATGTTTCTTTAGTAAATGTAAATATTAACTAATGGTATTGTTTGCCAGTTTAGGATTTTAATTCTACCCTAACAGTTTTGTAGTAATTAATCGCGCTTTTTCATTATATCATTAACGTCTTGTATGATTAGGAAAACTCATGGGAAACTGTAGCAATTATAAAAATTGACGATATCTTGGAAGAATTTATGGGTATTCGGGATCAACAACTAGGTTAGTAGTAAAGGAAAGCGTACTAGCTAGTTAATTACCTGTTAAGATTTAAATTGTCAGGGACGTTGTAGCAGGTGTTGCTAACAAAGTAGCTTTCGCTTTTTCTGAAATTATTAAATTTGATGTCAGGCATTGAATTCAAGTATCTTCTTCATTTTATTAGCTGATACTATTGTAATGCTTGGGAAAGATAAAACCAATCCATCTGAATTTGCTACAGCCTTAGATGAAGATATCTATTTAAAGATGTTCGATTTCCCAGATCATATTATCTTTGATATGTGGGCAGCACTTGGAGATGCCAAAAGTGGCCGATTAAAGTCAAATCGAAATCATTAATATACAATTGATATCTATGGTTTGGATTTAAATTGTGATTTCACAAGCGTATCATAATTCACTAGTTATAAATCACCGTTTGAAGGCAAGATTTACAATAACTAGCTTTACAAACTGTTAACTAGAATGTCGACAGAAAAATACTGCTATTATCAATTTATAGTTAGCACCCTGATCGCTCATAATTAACATGGAAAAAGAATTAGCGATCGTAGTAATTTACTGATTTGATCAATCTAAAGTGGCAAAAATATAGGTTGTTCCATAGTATTATATATCTTTCTTTTTGTAATACATGGACCTTAATTTTTATACCATGTATCATAGGAAACCCATACCATCTAGTCTTGCTATAATAACTATGATGATGAAACACAAATACAGTTTAAAATTATAACCTGAATGCTTGGAATATCCCAAACCTACGGTTAGCTTTTGATATTAAAATGAATGATTTTATCTTGATAAAATAAAATTATACCAATCCCGCCTATTTACGACAGTTTTAGTAATTATATGCATTTATTATACAAAGCACTTAAAGGTTTCGAAGGAATATAAACATGTATTGAATTTAATTTATGAATGTATTGGTTATTCTATCGCGTACTCGAAATAAAAATTGTTACACTCACAGCTACTGAATATTTCATAATTAAGAAATAAAAATTGATGCGAAATGAAGAAAAAATATCCTGATGAAGCTATTGTATCTACAGAAGTAGCATTTTAAAGTGGTTAATTTCATGGCTACAAATTTATAGTCGATCTATGAGATGCACTACTGATGCCTATCGAATGAAGTATGTTCTAGGAAAATATTTTAAAGGGATGATCAGATATTGTTGATTAAAAGATCCTTATATTACCCTCGAATATTCGTATATTTAGCGAATTCGAACCATTACTGTTTATGTATGTCTGCATCTATATCTTTGTATATATATTATTTCTAAGCGGTCAGTATCAATTTTTATCATCATATTTACGTTTATTAATTACAGATATTTAGACTGTACAGTCAATATGCTATAGGGCTATTTAGATCTCTATAGTAAAAAGAAAAAGCCATTACATAGCTTTCTATTTTGTAGATTATCCACTTTGAAATTGCTTCATTAATACGAAGTTGCTATTCAAGTAACAGGATAAAGATATTTGCAGACATATAAATCATATGATATAATTAATATTTAGATTTACGTTTTCCATGAGCAATAATATTCAGCCCGCGAATAAAAATATCGAATCGATCTTAAGGCTATACGAGCCCGTTAAATAATTTTTTAGTACAATTAAAATTATGTCAGTATTTCTAAAATTCGCTTTTAAGATATACGGCTTTAATATACTGTAGACATCTTTATCACTTGCTGCACAAACACAGCAAGAACTCTCAAATTAGGATAAAATTCTTAGAAAAAACAAAAATTTTATTGTAAATGTAAATCCAATATTATTGAAGACTATAAAGTTATAAATGACTCTAATGTCTTCAACATCGTCGTATTAGATTACTCACTATACTTTTCAGTTACAGAATAGATCATTTAATTATGATCTCGTCGATTGTTCATCTATCAAGAGCATTTGTATAAGCAGTTGCTACCATCTTTTCATATCTATGGACTGAATTAGATGATATTAATCCAAAAAGTAGAAAGTGATAAAATATATAATTGAAATGTTATCATGTGGCAGCCCAGCAATAGATATCTAACGATGACTTTGATATCTATCTTGTCTTTATTTCTAGTTTAGAACTCGTCGAAAAGTGGATAAGAAGAAAAGCCAATGGTATATTCAGTCAACTTTGAATATAATTTCCCAAATCGGATTGGAATTTTTTAATTGGTAAAGCCTTAGATAAAATATCATTTTTGGATAAAGTAAATTACTATTATTGTTTTCTTTTAAAGAATTTTAGTCTATCCTTATAAAAATGAATAGTAGATAATCCATGTGATAAAATTATTTATCCTTGATAGGGTTTATATCGCCATTATTATATTTCAAGCGAGTAGACATTAATGTATTTCCGTGTCGGCTGGCCAAAGAGAGGATTTCAAAGTTATAATGATTAAACGTAATACGTTGTGGTTCGACGAAATTTTTTTCTGTGCCTAGGCCTAGTCGTCCACGGCTACCTTTACCCCACGCATAAACCTCATTATCTGTTAAAAATTGAAAATAAAGCAGCACATCACCTAAAAATTTACTATAACTGACTTCAATATAAGTATTACTATTGCTATTGCTCGATAAAAATAAATTATTTGTCTTGAACGCATGAGGTTTGAAACTACAAATTCTTTCAGATAATAGTCTTGTTACTGACAGCAAGAAAGTATTCTATCGATATATTCAGATGGTGTACTGCTGCCGTATTTTACGATCATTTAAACGAACTTGCTTGAATAATAAGAATATCAGTTATAAAATTTACCTGCAGTAACAGCAATGGTAAATGCATCCCCGCACGCGATATATTTAATTTGCTTATGATTTAATGATGAAACTTGCTTTGCAGAAACCCTTTGCTTGCTTTGCTCATAACCTAGTTGGCCATATGTATTAACTCCACAGGTATAGAGCTTGCCGTCCTCTAGAATTGGTTAGTAAAGTATTCAACGCAAATATTAATACGAATGCAAATTAAAACTCTTTATGATACCTAGGCCAAATAATTTATCGAATAAGCAATGTAATTATCTTTCTATCAAACTGTTAGAACATCCTAGAAAATGAAAGCTATACATTCGTAACTATACATATATAAAAGCTTAATTGATACCTTTACTAAATTTATATTAAGGATAACGTGATAGATATAAAAAGTAACTTCTACCATACTGAATACGGTAACAAAACAGCTAAACGGCAATATAAAAGACCATTAGCTATATGTTCGGTAATTTATAAATTGAAGAAATGCTAGATTCAGTTAACAAAAGTTATCTTAAATATTTATAATAATCTGTAATTTAACCGTAGCTTTCTATCACCTGTTATTACTGCAGTATGGGAAGTGCCAGCTGCTACTTGTTCAATTGATAGTGATGAGAGTGGCATGGATGGTACACGTGTTAGGGAATGTTTTTCATCTACTAAGCCAGTATCTGAGGTGTCTAATGATAACTTATTGGCTCGATTACTACCACAGACTAGTAAGCAACCGTCGCAACATAATACCATACTACAATCAATACCGCAACATACTGAGCTAGGCTGATAAGTTTCTGGTAGTTTAATGAGTTCTGGTACGCTATATGTCTTGGTATTTGATGTTCCTAATCGACCTATATTTTTTGGCGTAAAATATCGTTAACCATAATCTTATCCTTGGATTTGTTAACAATACAACCGAATGATAATTACAGTTGGCTTAATACTATACTTACCGTTATCACCTCTACCCCAGGCAAATAATTCATGTTCAGCTAAAGAAATTATATTTTATGAAAAAAAAGCTTAAACACTAAACCTTATGTAATATGATAGAAATAACTATTAGTCTTGCTTACAATACTTCCTAAATGTTGTGTACCTGTAATAGCCATAATATGAGATGCACCACAGGAAACATTTACGATTTCATAACCAATTAAGGATTCAACGATTTTTGGCTGTAGAAGTAATTCCAATAGAATGATTAATTAGGTAGGTTATAACGTGAATTTTTGTGTGTACCAGTATTAGGCTTTATGGTGTAATGATTTGATTTTCCTTACATGTGCTGCTTCGTTAAAATTTCCATGTCCTAAGCAACCGTTTGCACCTGATCCAAAAGTCATTAAGATTCCACGATCTATTCATGTTTAAGAACAAATTATAAGTTCGACTAAAAGGATTTGTTATTTTTGAAATATATTCTGATGTTGGTTAACAGTTTTCTATAACTGAGAGACTGTTCAACAATTTATACCTGTTAGACAAGCAGTAAATAAATCTCCACAAGAGACATGAGTAATATTGACGACCGATTGGCCTTCAAGGAGCCTCGGTATATCAATATTAATATTGCGATCATTTTTACCATCTAATTGTACTCTATTTTGCTGTAAAATAAAGTCAGAGAAATAAAATAATATTAGTAATCAATTTCACTTCACTTTATCCAGCAGTATAACTAAATTTAAAGGCTAGAAAGCCTATCAGGTAATGAAAACAATATCTAGGTCTCCCTATTACATTTTTTTTGTGCATCTGCTTACCTCCCAAATAACAATTTGGCCACAATTAGTTACACCCATTTTTTGCGTCCGACTGACATCTACGCGTGTGATTTGTAAACTTCTTTGCGGTAAATTTAGCATTAGCGGTTTAGATGAGCTACTTCCCCACGTGAAAACAGGTGCTGATGATGATGATACATGGGAGTCTTCACTATCTGTTAATGCTCCCGATAAACTACTAATGGATGAACCTGGTCGATTTGTTCGATGACTATAGGAAGTTATATTCGAATTATGCGAACTTTTAAGTGATTGAGAGTCGAAAGGCAAACTAATGCTACCACCACTGCTTGACAGAATTCCAGATGCATCATCGGTGCTATTAGATCGATCATAAGTAGCTCGATTATTGGTTATTGAACCTAAAATATGGAATAAAAAATCATTTTTTACATTATAATACAGCAGAACGAATAATAAAGGCATGACCATTAATAATTTTTTAGTTAGCTAGTAACTACAACAATTTCAATCCGTTCTAAAATAATTCGACAGCAACAATTTTTCTGTTGATACGTTAACATTGGTAGCAATACAGTCAGGTTTGAAGAAAGTAAAAAGCTTACCTCCATCAATGCCGCTATCTAAAGTATGGTTGCTCTTTGCGGATGCATGATATCGCTTCCCTTTTGATCGTCTTGTAGTTGATGAATTTTTCTTCGATAATCTATTCAAGAAAAAGAGCCTGATTAGTAAAATCTTAAAGTCTGCAGTAATAATCTGTTTGTTAGGTTGTCTTTAGAGGGAATGATCCAGGTATATGTTGTATCAAGGAAACATTCAAACTTGTATAAAAATATGTTATCAAGCACACTGTCGTATACTTCAGATTTCGTAAGTATGATACTAGTACAAATTATTCTAGAAACTTCCATTTTGTTTGTTTAAGGTGGGAGAGCTTCTTAATTTGATCAAATAGCAAATAATAGCCATGAAGTATAAGGTACTATTTCATAGTTATAAAAAATTTGTAACTTACTGAAGACATGGAATACGACCAATAGATGTTCTTGCTTGCATTAAAGAATTAACAATAATGGGTAGTGCCATAATCTCATCTAATTCCGGCCTTCGAGAAGGGTCCAAATGCAGCATACTTAAAATTAATCCTCGAAGATCTTCGCTATAAATAGAGGATATAGGAGCAAACTTTCCTCTCATGATCTTCATGACTAAAGCTGGCAAATTCTGTTACGGATAACGTACAAAGAAGTGTCATAATTTATATTATCTGTTTCACTGAGATTAGTATTAATATCATCAGATGCTATAGTAATATACTCTTTGATGACCTTTCGTAAAATATGAAATAAAAAATTTCTAGACTATGGATTATCATAAAATAAAATTAAATTTTTAATAATTGAAATTTAAAATGTAACTTACCGGTGCTTCGAACGCTCTTTTTAAACTGGCTAATTCATATAAAACACAACCTAGAGACCAGATATCGCTTTTATGATTATATCTTTAGATATTTTAGTTAAGGTAGTAACGTTATTGATATTAAATTAATTAAATAAACGGTAAATTATAATGCCTTAAGGAATAAATCGAATAAATTGAAGTGGTTACAAGCTAACAATAAGAAGAAATTATTTTATTTCTAAAATCAGACTGCGATAGTCTTGCAAGAATATGAACCGAAAAAATATAGCAATATCAAAGCCATTGAAGTCGATATTGCGATTATGGATACGGTTTTCCTTCGCAAAGTTCAGGAGAGATATAACAAGGTGTCCCAACTACCTACTCAATACATCAAGATAGAGAGTAAGAAATTAAAAATCACGATCATTACGCGTAATTAAATTTTGGAATGTTCATCTATCCTCGATAGAAAGTACTAAATTCATATGTCATCATGTAAGCTCATACTAGCTAGTCATACTACGTTTACAATTAAAGCTTAGATGTATAGCACTGTCAATTTGATTATATCTCAACTTCTTCTTAGAAGTAATCTTTTTCTAGAATAATTCAACGTACCGTATTTGCTTTACTTTTACTATTAAGAACTTTGGATATTCCAAAATCGCCAAGTTTAGCTACTGTTCTTCTATCATTAAGTAATATATTTTGTGTCTTTAAATCTCGATGTAAAATATTCTTGGAATGAACATGATGCAGAGATTGTAAGATTTGCACAAATAGATGAAGAATTTCCTATAATTAAAAAGAATTTGATTATAATATGGAGTGACGTAAATGTAAAGTCGTATTTCAAAAATTTTCTATTTCATTCTTTTATTAAGCTTATATAGTTTTATGAATTGGATTTTCATATAGTTATATATAGGAAAGAGTCATTAGGAACTTATGAAATAGATATGATTTATAGTCAATAAATTATAACAACTCAGGCCCCTACAAATGATGTCTTTACAATAAGTTGTTAAAGTGTTGTCATAATCGAAGGCTTCAATTAACTATTTTACTTCTATTAGCGTAATGGAAATTGAATGCTTAAATCACTGGCGACTATGAAAACTATTTTGTAGTAGATCTCATGCTGTTGTTTAATGGACTTATAACATCAAAGCTGAGATCGTTATAATCACAAGATAGGCCAAGAAAGGAAGAATTTTATATTTGATAGTTGCAACAGTCTGACGTTAACTTGCTAAGAATAAAATAAACTAAGGATATGATCCGAAGTGCTCATAATATTGAAATGATAATGAACGAAAAAGCTATATAAGTTCATGACTTACTTCCTCGCTTAAAAGTTCATCTCGTCGTTGTTGTAGATATTCAAAAATGGTACCGCCTATATCGAATAGACATTGAAGTTTAGCGAGCTTCGATTTAAGTAATAAATTAGATATTTTCCAATAAGTAAATTAAAGTGCAATAATAATTCGTTTCTTGATTGCTATGATGAAATATCATAAAAATGATGATAACTAGCGCTGCTAAGGTAAACTAGTGACTTAATTTATTCACTGTAGCATTAATTATCTTTAATGATTGGTGACGATTACCCAAGGCTAAATTAGATACGACACATAATGTATTTGCCTACAATTAATCAAGCCGTGAATCGTAAGAAAAAACAATCATTTAATGATGTTGCGTAAGCAAATCAACTTACCTTCGGCATATTCCATGACAATCATCAGAGCTTTATCTTCGTAAAAACTATCATAGTAGCCGATAATATTTGGATATTTTAATACGGATAATACTTTAACTTCATTAATAGCGGATTGCCTTTCCTCGATTGTCATATCTTCTACTGGAATTTGTTTGATAATGACCAAGCCGTTATCGACTAGACGACGGCATAAATAAACGGTTCTAACAAACAGGAAAAAATATAAAACGCTAGCTGTTATCTTGATTGGTTATAGTGATAATAGTTCAATCAAGCTTCTAATCCATCATAAAATGGTTCAAATTTTTCTCCTCCATTTTAGATTTTATAAATGTTTGCATTGGTAGTAAGTTGGCATGAAAGAAATAAGATATCGTCAGCTGTAGCTGATCACTAAAAATTACTTTAAACTTATTGTCACTGCAGTATGCGTGTCAGTAATATAAAACTGAATACGGTACCAATGCAATTTCGAGAATAAAAAATCCCTTTTCTTAATGTCCTTTATATGTATACAAAATGCGCTTATTTTATCATTAAAGTCATTGACATAAGCCAATAGATGAATATTATTAAACTCATCATTACTGTAGTCTATATTTTTAAGTCGTATTTAATTGGTACTATTTATTATACTCTATCTTATCGGATGAACGTCTTGGAAAGGTAACTTACCCATATGCACCTCTTCCAACGATTCGTATTTTCTCATAGCTATCCATTTCTTATCAGATATCTTTTTTCTTCAATTTTAAGGTTCCTGGCTTCTTCATAGAGTTACGATAATCGTTGATACAGTATTGACTTTGCTATCGGTGAATATACGATTGAAGTGAGCAATTGCGGTACGTAGTTACAAATTCATGCTGAATTTCTAGTAGGTTGATATAAAGTAAATGTACTACTGGTCTATAATGTAGAATTTCTTTTAGAAAATATATTGAAATTATACAGGCTCAATAAAGAAGTTATATCAAGAGCAGAAAAAAATTGTTATTACTAACAGTTTGTGTATAAAATGCAAAAGATGCCGACAGTATTCTATCTTCTACTGTTTAATAATGGTCCCCCCAATAGGATCAATCATGTCATTCTATAGTAGGCTATAGTTCTAGATCTATTTTATGCTTTTTTTTTCTTCTAATTGTGCTGTATCTTATTATTGTCAAAGATTGATTAATATTCATATATTGGCCTATAATGTCATGAAATATGGCTACAGTCTATTGTTAATTGCTCACTTCCATAATGCACTTACAGCACATTACAATAACGCCGATCGCTGACCATGGCAATCCTATTACAAGGATTAATGTTCAATATACGCGTAAGCGTACCGTAGAAGAGAAGGAATTATGACACTGACTTTTATGCAGTACTGACAGTGTATAGGAGGGTTTTCACAACGCCTTCTATGTAATGTAATTATTTCAATGCTCTATTATTCCATCCAATACAATACAACATATTCTAGCCACAAATCAGCGATTTTTAAAATTTTTATGTGTGGATATGCATGCACGTGAAAAGTCGACAAACTTTATTTGTCATGATTGGATGATGTTAATTAACTTGACAATATTATTATAAATAATTTTACCATTAGAACTGTGTTTCAACGTCAACTTGATGGAATGAAAGTTGTGCACAAGACTATATTCTAGCTATGGGTAAGATGAATGGATATTATTGTCATTTTACCTGATAGCGAATGAAATTGATGAATGGCCTCTGTTGAATATCGAAGATTACCCTAGCTGCTGATATCAGCCGTAATGGAGGAACTTTTATCATGTTGATTTTGAATAGCTACAGTTATCAAAATAATTGAAGTGAGTTGAGAAATGTAAAGTACTATGGGCGTTGGAGGTTTCAACGTTTGAACATAGCATACTATATAATATATTCTACTGTACATAATCCAATAACACTTATCCAGTTGATTGATTACAGTATGCGCGCATATTTGTACAGCAGTTACTGCTTCGTTCACACTACTGTTAAATCAAATCAATAACGCGCAATGTACACATTCTGCGAATTTTCTAGTTTCTTCTTATAACTTGACACCACATTTTACTTGATACTGCTGAGATTTTGGTTAATTGACGTTGGTCTGTCATTCTACCATGGTAGATAGAAATACTTATTCGAGTGTCTATTTACAATTACCGTACGTTGTAAGTTAATGCCAGACTACTGCAGGACGACTAAGCACTGCAAGGGAGCATCTGCGATTTCTCTATGAGTTGCCCTGGCTACTGTACAAATCTACGTATTCTTGCATAACAGTACGTTAACTGAATTACATAAGCTGTTTCAGCGTCGTCAAGGTATGATTACAAAGTGCTGAAGGCTGAAATATAACGATTTCTCTATTAATTGCCCTAGCTCCTGAACGAATCTACATATTTTTTGCATAACAGTACGTTAACTGTTTTACATCAGCTGCTTCAGCGTCGTCAAGGCTATAATATAATGAATAGATAGCCGGTAAGTGATATCACATGCTAGCTGCCTACGTATAAATTATACAGTATAATATACAGTAGATTGATTCTTATTCTGTTCCGTCAGGCAGTAGCCTCCTCATCGATGTCTCTCTAACGTCCTCCCTATGTGCGTTCATTGGCAATCAATGCATAAACCTGCTCTCCATCCTCTCATCATCGTTTACATCAATCAGTGTACAGTATATTTATACTGTAGAAATCATATTGCAAGGGCTAATGGACATTGTACAGTACAATACAATGCAGGTATGGAGTCAAGGCACGGCTCAAAATGGATTGCAATGGAAAATTGCAAAACCCGATGAAATGTGACAGTCGCTCGGTCACTGTACTGTACACTGTACAGTGTAGAGTACGGTGTGCTTGCCAAGTCTCTACAGTACATTGTACAGTACAGTGCTACAGTACAGTACAGTACTGTACAGTATGTACAGTATAGTACAGTATTGTGGTCTACAGTACTACTGACTTGTGGTTCTGTACAGTACTGTACGAGCTAAGAGCCGACTGTACAGTACTGTACTGTACAGTGTACTGTACACTGTACAGTACACACTGTTGACTGCAGTGTTCAGTGTTGACAAACCACGTGTCCGCTCCGAAATGCATACTGTACTGTACACTGTACTAGTGTATTGTAACCCACTATACTGTACAAAACAAAATGAGTACTGTAATACAGTACTACAACACAGAGTCGTACCGTGGTAATGAGTGTGGTACTGTACTGCGCACACTACTGTACTGTAGTACTGTACAGTGTACAGTACAGTGTACAGTACAGTACTGTAGAATAAGTGTACTGTACAGTACAGTAGATCTGTACTGTACAGTATAAGACTGAACGGAACGGAAAGAGATTGCGTAGTTACTCGTCGACAAGGACGTGCTTGCGTACTGTACTGTACTTCTTTCATTCCGTAATACTGTACACTGTACAGTACAGTATTGCCGACAGTCTGGTGCTCAATAATACAGAACTTACTGTAATATGGAATGGAAGCACTGATGGAACGCTCACTATTAGCCGGAATAATAGAACTGTAATGTATTCGTGCATTTCTGTGTTGAACGGCTATAATCTAATTCGAAAATTAAATGAACAACTCGCGTTTCATCTGCTTTCAAATTAGCAATATTCGTTCATGATTTGAACGTCAAAAGTGAAATTAGAATTTCCGCATTCGGCCCAAATGAAGCCGTTTTTTATCCTGGACTGTACAGTGTACTGTACAGTACAGTACAGTACAAGAAATGGACTCGTACTGTAGGACATTTCACCGTAGAAATTCTATTGTCTCGTTTAGTCCTTGGGACTGGCTGGCGCACAATATGGACTACAGTACAGTACAGTACTCTGCGCTACAGTACTGTAGATTACGGTCGCAGCTGTACTGTACACTGTAAACGTTCACTCATTGACTACACATGGACCACGGAGTAGAGAGACACCGCTGCATCGACCGGGGTACTACGGCATACAGTACAGCGTAGTGGTGTCCAGTACGGAGTGTTCAGTGCGTTACTAAGGGTATACTGTCAGATTTGCCTTGTTGAACGCCAAGTGTAGTGCTGTGCTATACTGTAACTCTGTAAGCCATTGGTCAACGAGATTTGCGCGAACTCGTCGAATTTTCCACTCGGCTCTATCGTGAACTCCAAGCTGTGTCCTCTACTTAAGCTACGAGGCTCCATCGTCAATTAAAAGCTGTGTCCTCTATTTGAGCTAGGAGGCTCCGTCTTTGTGACCAATCTTTTATTTCAACAATTTTGTATAAAAAAATTCCAGTGCGTTAAATCATCATGGTTAAATTAACTGCAGATTTAATTGCTATGGCACCGCAATTTACCAACGCTGTCAAAGATCGAGAGTTAGATCTTCGAGGTTGGTTCAATCTACTACAGCAATCGTTGGCTACTGTACAAGATAGTGAGAGCTTGAATTGCAAAGTTGTATTTACAGTATCAGATAATACTTTGATTTCGTAAGATATTGTATATTATGGAGGATAATTTGCTCAAATGTCTACAGTGATTGGTGCAATGACTACAACATCAGTCGATCAATTCATGTTGAAAAACTGCATGTTGGCCTTGTGTCATCAAGTCAATATAATGTATACTACCTACAAGGAAGCCTATTTGAAAGCTGTAAAGCTCAATCCGGTTTAATTTTTATAATCTTGTACAGCGTATTGATTTCCATATAGTATCAGCAACACCTGAATTCTTGAAGAGATTCTTCTCTTTTCATTATAATCTTGGATGATTATTTTTCTGTAGTTCGTAGTAAAATCAATTATCCACGTTAATGTGCATTGCTCTAGTCTTGCATTGGATCTATTATATAATTTTATTATTGATGAAAGCTCTCAATTTTCTTACTTTAATACCAATTGGATTTCTGACAGCCGCTATTTCTTGTTCAATGTTAGGTAATCGGATTACTATTTTAGAAAACCTTGGAGCAACTTTGGTAAGACAATCCATTATCGCCGATGATGTATTACTATTTTACAACATACTGTACTGTACTACTGGTATTTGTACATATCGTACAATAGTTATAGTCGAGATTTGTTTGTGCTACTGTATAAAATATCGATATATCTGCATTCTTAGTTGTTAATTGCTATGGCAAATGCAGCCTTGTCATATATCTTACTCAATTACATACAACATTTCCGCTATTAATCAATAATTAATGTATTAGACTTAGAAATTTTGGTAGTGTACTCTTATATCATGATATTATACTAGGCATTTCGCGAATGGACTAGATTTTGTACTTGGACGGTAACATTATAATTATAATCACTTAGGATAGGATATGTGATGGACAATTGCTTGCTCTTCACCATATTGATATGATAGCAATCTGCTATAAGAAACAACTTTTAAAGTTGAACTTAAATCTTAATGATAGGATCAATTCGATACCATTGATTTCTCGGATAATGGAATTAGGAAATTAGAAGGGTTTCCGCTGCTACGTAGACTGAAATGTATCCTATTGAATAACAATCAACTATGGTATGATCATTAGTTGTATCATTGATGCATAACTAGTCACAGTACTAAATTTACAGTAATCTTACGTAATGGTATTAGTTGTAGTTATTCCAAGTGAGAGATTCGGTCATTTTAAGTACAGTACAGTATATAGAAGCGTGAATACATTATGATTTTAAAATATTATTTATTTATTTTTATTGTAGTCGTATCGGTTCTAATTTAGAAGATAGTCTCCCTATGCTGGAAGAACTTATTTTAACTTGCAACAATATGCAGGAATTGGTAGGTCTAGTTTTTGCGTTGCAGTTGTAATGCTCGTATAGAGTAAATGGTATCCTATTGACAAATCGAAATCATGTACGTGTAGTTTGATATAAATTGTCGCCTTAGTAAATATGTACAAAGTATCAGTTATTTTACTTTGCTAGTTAAGGCAAATTTCAGATTTTCAGACCAAAAAATTGTTAAATTGATTTGCATACCATTTAGGGAGATATTGAACCTTTGTCGACGGTTAAAACACTCAAGTCTCTGTGGTAAATTATGCGAAATATTTTGTGTGCAGTAAAATTATATAGCTTCATGTTTTATAACTTAGCATGTTCAATGATACCCTTAATGTTTTAATGCATCAAGCGAAATCCTTGGCTTAATTGTAACTCTTGCAACGTTAACCTACCCATATATCGCGTTTGTTATATAGCTTATTGAAGAATCCTATTGCAAATAAAAAACATTATCGACTTTACGTTATCTACAAACTGCCACACATTAAATTGCTCGACTTTCTAAAAGTAAAGGAAAAGGTAAGCTCCTTAAATTATCACCAGATATTTGCATAGCTAGGTAAAGATATTTACCGCATATTAGTTAAATTTTTAATTGCGGTCGGGACACATAAATATTGTAAACTAATGTCACTAGTTTAAATCGGAACTTACAGATATAATCATTAGTAGTGTTATATATACTATTGATCACACCGATTACGTCTTAGGAGCGCATCGCAGCTGAGAAATTATTTGCAGGTTCTCAGGGAAAAGATTTACTGAATGAAATTGGCAAAAAGAGTAAAACGTTGGTGAAATAAAACCTTGTTTAATTTTACGTTTTTAGCAGACAAACTATGATTCTATTGACTGAATATCATTAAAATTGCTCTTTATAAAACAATGTTCAGATTTATGCCTGGGGAAAAACTTGAGGAGGCTAAGGCTGCCGTTACAAACTCTCATGCGAATGCTATCAAGGTGACCGACTAGTAATTTCTCTCTGTTTAATTGAAAGTGAAATCGTTAATGCATTTATTTCCCTTAGTAAGTTAAACTGCAATATAATAATGATATAGTACTGCAATGGACCATGCTGTGTATTTATCATAGGAAGCTATTGCTAAAGCTAATACTTTAGAAGAAGTACAACGACTGGAAGTGATGCTGAAAGCTGGCCAATATCCTGATAATATCATTGCAAGCGATAACGCTGGTGGTGACGAGATGGAAGTTGAAGAAGTTGAAATGGAAAGCTAATATTGTGCTTATATTTAGTCCTAACGTAACACGATATTTAATGCTATTTTAGAAATATGTATTTCTATCATATCGAATTTTTGATACAACTGCATTATATCTACCTATAATGCCATTGTAACTTCTCAAGTTAACAAGTTTCTGATCACTGCTATTTTTTCCCCTGTCCATTTATCCAGATCTTTTAGGTCGATGGTGAAGTTGTCGCTACTATGTCGTTGACTTTTAATAGTCAAGTGTTTTAGATGTTAAAGACAGCTTAACCTTATGTAAATAGTTTAAGCATATATAGTTAAAGTTCTGTCTGTTATCTGAATTTGTTATTTCCAGATAAACCAATATACTGTATACTGCAAATAAATCTTCACTTGTAACACAATTTGCAAACTTGTAGATTTTAGCTTTAGAATACTGATTTATATCAAGGCAAAGTGGCAAATTACTTGTATAATACAACTGCGGCCACTGTCTTTAATTTACTGTAGATATTTGAGTTGGGAACTACTTACCGCATAGTTTAAAGCTGGAATGATATCATTAATGCTGTATTGGTGTTTTCAAATCATGGCTACAGTAAGCTAATGAATCCTCTATTGCTCAAAGTAAGCAAATAAAGATTGTCGATGCATCAGATCATCGATGCGGAATAAATTCACAGTACAGTATACGAGAATTTTACCGTAGGTAATGATAGGCGTACTGCGATCACGTACTTGGAATACTGTAGTATTTTTAGATTATACTGTAACTAATATAGATATTCTTAAAATATAATCATTTTATATTATTCTTAAATACGGATATTTTTGTAGTCTTATTGTAATACGTTCAAATATAACTTGTTGTGTTTAGTTATTTAAAGCACTTACACTGGTAAGTCTACAGTCTTCACTATTTCCTACAATCCTTTGCTATTATGTAAAGTTGTAGACTACTAGAGTATTATCCCAAAAATCTTTATGTATTTCTCTACATCACGAATACTATTTGGCTAAATACACCAGCAAGCCCTATAGCGTAAACCATCTAACATCATTTGAGAGTAATAACAATATTAATGCTAGCGGATCCTGTAATCAGCTAATTAATTACTACTTGTAAGTAGACTGTAACCATTACGTCACTCTTACCTATTCCAACAATAACATAGAAATTGTTATTGTCTTGATTATAATTATTCACTATCAGATGCGTCCAAAAAATTTATAGCATTAAATCAAAAATCTATTTAGCGGCCATTAATGTTATATATTGAACGAATAGGATAAAACTGAAATGCATGAGATATGTATCTATCAGAAATTCTTCGAGGTTGTCCGTTGTATTTGATTACATCTAGCCGAATGATCTGAACGTATGTATAACTTAATTAAACGACTATTATGATTTGTTGCAATAACGTCTCTTTTATAGTATTGCCTAGTCTATCCAAGTCTATAGCAATAATTATTATCGACAATGATGGGAAATGTTATCATAAATGCATATTAACTGACGGTTACAAATTGGATTACATTGCCAGCTATGTTTTTCATATAATAGCCAAAACATTTAAATGACTTATTTCGATCTATTCAGTGACAATAGCAACTTATCAATCAAGTAGTATGATAAATGAGTAAATTGTAGGATTGCGAAATTTAAAAAGTATAGAAACATAGGGTGCAATGCAAGTATCCTGGGTCCGACCAGAATTAAAACTATATTAATGGATTTTATCAGAAAAATGCGAAAGTTACAATCACTTTATACAACTACCCTGTCCTCTTGAAATGTACATAGTAGTCGAGAAAGAATTTAAGTTAAAATAATTTCTACCTAGTATTGTTATAATAATTCCAATGGCTGAAGTAATCGTTAAATTTAAGCAATAAATAAGTTCGTTAATAAGATATAAATAAAAGAATTTGACATACGAGAGCTTGTTTACCAATCGATATGTTTCAATTTTGCTTTCTGCATTATTATACAATGTAAAGATAGCTTCGGTCACTTGCGTTAGTGATTAAAAACTTGTTCGAATATTACAAATTGGTGATCACATAGCAAGTTAATTCGCTTTCTAATAATTTGTAAATACATTTATAAATTTAAAAGATTCGAAAGATTATATGGAGATAATAACACCTTGACGATCACATTGTATAGTACATCAGGAAATAAGTATAAGCTAATTAAGATAAGGAAATTTATTAATAAGAGCAGGCCGGATGAAAATTAAAATTTTATAAGCCCATCAAGTGTCTTCATTTACTTTTATTAATAAAATATCGTTATAGCTTGCCATTGAGATTGAACTAATAATGTGCTAAAGTGATCATTAGAAGCTGCCTGTAATTAAATATTAATTTAGATCCAGATGAAGGAAAAATGGAAGGGCATACGTATATGTTGGAAATTAGACTACGGTTTCACAATGATAGTTGTTCTCTAAACCGAAATAGTCATCACTTGTATGATGATCTAGAGGATGATTATTATTAAGAAATAGGTCATATTGAGCATAAATCTTTTCCTGAGTTGAAAATTTATTGGTAGATGATTGTGATTTTTCCAATCTAAAAGTAGTGCTGGTTCGGTTGACGATAATATCCGTCGTTTTTAAGCTTCCATTTTGATAACTGCCAGTGGCAATTTCATAATTACTGGCTTTATTTTGTTTCTTTAAGAGCACAGACTCAGCTTTCTTGCTGGAGCGTATTCTACGTCTTGCTTGAGTTGGTTTTTCTTTCGTTGACAAATAGGATCTATCTCTTCTGATTTTGTAGCGTCGAATTAATAATTTCAGCTCCTTTCTGAATGAATTATTCAAGTAGGTATACAATAAAGGATTAATTGACGAACTAAGGTTAATGCCAACAAATTCACACCAATATCGCAATCTTTGTAAGATCTCCTGTCTTCCAATGCTATGATCAAATGTACGAATTAAATTAGTTATATCCCTTGGTAATTTACAAACAATAAAAACACCAATAATGACTGCAATCACTTTGGCAGCCTTATACGCACTACCAGTTTGCCTTGGGCTATTTGGATGAGGATTTACTAATTCAATCGTTTTTCGCTTAGCAATACGATAGATTCTCCAATAAAATATGCATATAAATACAAGAGGAAGAGCAGATCGAAATACTGTAATAAAGATATTCCACGGAATTAAATATCGAGCTGTTGCAGGATCTACACCTGGAACACAAGCGTGTGGTTGCCAGATATAGAGACCATCAAGATAGGGATAGAACCCAATCAAAAGTGATAATAACCATATAAGCCCAGCAGTGACAAATACGATACTTTTCCAGTTTAAGATAACATCTTGGTACCAAAATGGTGCCGAAATGCTTATAAACCGTTCCATAGCGATAGCGCAAATATGAAAATTCATATTTACAGAGAAGACATTAGGAAGGACAAAGATAAGCATTTGACAGTAAATATTGCTGGCATGGCTGAGTCTGGGGCGACCGGTCATTTCAAGGCTTTTAAAAACAACATAAGGAATAGTATAGAAAAAGGAATAAAATAAATGACAGACGAACATGCTAGCAATGATAGTATTAGCCACAGTTCGAAGATGTCGTCGTGTTAAGATTAAGGCTAATGTTAAAATGTTTGTTACAATATTAGTAACAGCTAAAATAGAGCTGAGTATGATTAGTAACAACGTATCTGATGGTATGCCATCATTACTATTGGAAGGTTTGACATTAACATTAGGATTAGGATTAATTGGCTGATTTGGTCCAATTCTGGTATAAATTTCGCTCGGTATAATTGTGGAAGTATTGATAAACCATTGAAGATTGGATGATGTAGCAATTGAATCATTGAATACATCGGCCATAATTATATTGATAACTGAACAAGATGTCTTTGCCGAAGAAATTTTGGAGAAAGCCAAGAAGAATGAAAGAGATGGATTGAGCCGCGGTCGATTGTAGAAAATTGGGCGTTGATTGACGAGAAATTTGTCTGGTCCAGAAGATCATTGGTAATATAATCGGTGCCAATACGGCAAGAAGAGGTCAAATAAACGAATGGAATCAATTAGCAACTTATCTCCAGCAATGGAAGCAATTTATTGGTAATCACCTTATCTATAATACATGAATTAAGACGATCCCTTATAAATAAATTATGACATATTTTAAAGATAATACTAAAATAAAAGCAAAGGAGCGACGAGAAATGTATTCACTAATATATGTTACTAGGTACTATCAGCATAATACTAGTAAGTAATATTTTTACTACACGATTAGTCAACCCTAGGCCGTAGAAATAATTTACGACATACCATTATGTTCAACTTAAGGGTGAAACTTATTTTAATATTTTGGATATGCTTACTGATTAGACCAATTTAAAGACAGGTAATTCTGTTGAAGTGTATTTAATATTTTATGTTAATTAAACGCTAATTATCTAGATGGTAAATAAGTTCTGATGGAGTAAGGCAACGTTACATAGGTTTGTATTTATTAATAGCAACAATAACAATAACATCAATAGTTATTGGATAAATGCCTATTTATTTTAGCGATTTGAAGAAAGAAGGATATTGTTGCTGCTATACAATATCGTAACGATATAACTATACGCAGGAAATACCGTTGACGTTCTGCTTTCATAGACGAATGCTTAATCAATATTTGAATCTACTACATTGGTAAAGAAAAATAGCATCGGTGTAACATTTATCAAAGATGTAATTCTGATACAGTAAAGTACAGTATTTACCTTTGGGAACAATTAAAATTTTTTATTTTCAGACAGGTGCAGTCCTTAAAACTTTAATGAAATATATTGACTCCAACAAAGCACTTTAGTGATCCATGTTTTAGATCAACTACGATATTCAATGAAAATCTCGCAATTCATTCAAATATTATAATAACAGTTGCACATTTTAATGGATTATTAGCTCTCTCTCTGATGTCATGATAATGTCTATATGTTTATACATTCTATCGTTCTTGCTGCTGTATTCTTTTTGACCATTTATATCGATTTAATTAAAGAGAATAGGAATATTGATTTTCAAAGTTGAATATCAATCATACAGTATATTCTTCTCACCTTAGGAGGTCATATCACCAAGAATTGTATCCAAAGTGATCTTTTGGCTGCAGCAATATTATTGCAACACGATATCGTCTATTTGCCTGGCAACTGCGTCAAATACATACGTAGTTGATGGTTACTAAAATGAATTTATTATTTTAATATTCACTAAGTAAGGATATACATTTCGGTAACTAGGATAAATTTTTTCTAATTCACTTTATTTGACAGATACTTCAATATTTGATGAAGGGTAGAAAATAAAAATATTTTTGTGTCTTTTATTGATAACTATGAAAAGCCTTCGCTCCGCGCTAAAAATAAATGGATAAAGGACTTTGGTAGAAGACACATAGACTAATAATAGTAGGATAGAATTTCTGTTTATCTGTCAGTACAGACAGTTAAGAAGAGAAAGACTGATATTGTATTGGATACTATCATTATTTATTGTATGCATATACAGACAATTAGAAGATGCTTCAGTTATCATTGATATAAAGCATATAGCTGATGCAATAATAAGTTTTGAAAGTTATAGAAGATAAATGCGAAAATTCCTATTCAGCTATTCTAGTATTTGAGTTGAAATTCATCTCCATTCAGGCTGCTACTAAATACTAGCAACTTTTATATCATTTTACAGCAGCTTTTGACTTTTCAAATAGTCTCTGTTGAATACCATTTACAGCTACTATCTTCGCCAGAATTAAAATACATCCCTGATTGTACCAGAAGTTGGTACTAAAAGACAACAAAAACTATGATATCATTTTGCAATCATCTATAAATAATGGGATTCTTGTTTAAATAATATTGAACATTAAGGTATCTACAAAGGAAGTTTCTCTAATTTTAAAAACGAGGATGAATCAGATTGAATTAGCCTACATTACTTATTCAGATATCTAGACCACATCGAACAAGTAAGGCACGCTACCTACAGTTAACAAGTTGCTCAGGGTTAACATTTAAATAACTAGCGCGGCATAGCTGTAGTACTTTGATCATAGTAAGTCTGATTTAATTAGTCTACTTTATTTTAAGCCGTAGCTAGTATACGGAGATGATAGAATTTAGTTTTTAAGCCCATTACCCGTGAATACTGTCATTAGTCTAATAAAATATTGGATTTGTAATATTTTGTGTGAAATTATCCTAATAGTTAGCCTATGTGACTTGTATAGTAATTCAGCTAGTGTAAGAAATGTAATCTAACATCAAAAATTCGATAATTGCACCTTTACCAATAACATTCAGATAACAATTTATCTGATTAATTACTGTGGTTTATAGTACGTCATATCCTATTGAAATTATTCAAAATTACACAGTATTCGGCAATATTCACAGTTTAATAGGAAAGACAGGGGAAGAAAAAGTTTAATAAACAACTTATTCGTCCGCTTATATTATTTTGATTAAGTTTTGGCTGATTGAATTAATCTAAATTATCTATTAAACTATAGAATCTATACCAAACGATATACAATAGTACATATTTACAAATTGATAAGAATCATAGGATCGAAGATTTGGTAATAGCCCTTTTGTATACTAATTTAGGATATTTACTACACATTTTCTGCCAATAAATAGGCACAGCACGAACACTTATTCATATTGATGTTGCCTAGTATACCTATGAATTGGCAGTCTCAGGTATTATCCTTCTTTGGTAAATGCAGGAGTACCCGTATATTATGGTATCATCCTATAATTAAGTCTTTTTAGAATAAAATCCATACAGAATAAAGGGTAGAAAGATAAACTGAAATTATCTTTCCTAGTAATTCTTTCCTATCGTGAAATTCATAGACAGACTCATCTTTTATCAAGTGGATCAGTACGTATGGCATATGTAATATGATTGACCAAATTTGAATCGAAAGGAGTATTTCAAATCCTGTTAATCAATGTCTAATCATAGATAAATAAGAGTAATATCAAATCTATTCGTGGAATATTTTACAAAGACTAGCAAAACACATGTTTTTATATCTTAATGAAATCCTATCATAGCTAATTTGATTTACTGTCGTTGAGGTAAAAATATAATAACAGATATGCTTTACAAGTATATAGAACATGCAACATTGGAAGTTCGGAACTGTATGAATAATCTCAAGCCCTTCAAGAACTTTCAAAATAGTAGCTAAACTGATACACTTGAGCATAATTACTATAAAAGGGCTTGAATTTGTGATTGGAAGTACCAGTACCGAATTGAAATTGTTGTTGGTAAAACTGTAAAATTGAATTGGTGTAGTGATTTCAGCTGATTACACCTGTAATGTGTTTGAGGGTGTACTTTTAATGTAAAATAAAGCACTATACGACGTATGCTTAAGAAATTCCTTATAGATAATTTCTACTAGCTGAATAGGTGTGGTATAATTTGATAGAGGCTAGGGCAAGAATAATGCTAATTTAGAATTAGCAACTGCTGAGATTAGAAGTTAAGTAATAAAATTGTTTTTGAGCTAAATTGGCTAAATACTTTTGCATAAGCTATTTGTATATTTTTAATTGCATGGTCTGGTAGTTACTTGGTTAGACTTCCAGCGTACTTTAACAGCCCTATTGATATTTTAACAGTAATGTTTAAAGCTATCTAAGACAAAAATTTTATTCCTGTCCTGACTTTCTTAATGATTGCACAATGACAACATAATTATTATTTGATTTCTATTAAAAATTAGTCTGAAATCTTGAGATATTTTATAGCTGATTCTATCAAGTATTTTAATGAAGAATTCCTAACAAGTTTCTGTAGTTAGTTTTCTTATTTTGGTTATGCCAAGAGTAGATACTGGATCATCATCAGTTTTAAGAACCGGTAATAACAAAATGTAGTAAATTTTTTCGGTACTCACATTGCTGTCGTCATAATTAAAATTGATTTTGTAGATGAAAAGCTTGAATGTATGGCGTCGTAGCTATTTACAATAAAGTAAGCATATACACACACTATGCTCGAAAGAGCGTCAAACTAAATGATCTTTGATTTATTTACATGAAACAACCTTGTTTATGCTGTCTACATTCGATTAAAAGTATTCAATTGCTAAATCAATAGCAAATTATTAAGTGGCGTCAATTTTAGTGTTTTTACCATTGCCAGTGGTTCTAGTAAGCAATGTAACACCCGTGGCACTTCCACCATTTAATTTATTATTTTCTATTCTATTACATGTATATATATATATATATATATATAGTAATAATTCAAATTTCCGTAGATACAATTTCATACAATAGTGACGGTATATTGATGCATGGGCATAATATAATGATACAAGTTGAGCTGAATTTACTTTAACTTTCACTAATAGTCCTTTATTATGCTCTAAATAGCCATAGTAGTTATACAAGTCCAACAAATGAACGAATCTAACGCATTATTGTTGGCCTATCATTACAGTGGCAATACTAATGGCCAAATTGTTTGCTATTGAGTTTGCCATAAGGTGTTTACGCGATTTCGTAATTCAAGGTTCACGTCGTCACTTTAATTAAATTGTTGCTTCTTTTTAAATCAATAAAAGTATCCTCATATTTTATCTTCAAAATTTAGTTATAATTTTAATGAGAATTTGACGCAATATCTTTGCTGGAATGGGCTCTTATATAAAATATTTACTGTGTCATACACACAGTATAAGTTAATAGTAAGGTCGATCAAATGATATTGTCGATATAGCAGATCTAGTTATCGCTGTATTGCATTTAAATCATGTACAATTCTACACATGGTAATTCTCGTTAATAGCTATAGAT